CTCGAGGCTTAGGGGTCAGTTTAGTCAGTGGTTTATCTAACAGCAAGACAAATAAGTGGTCTTAAAATTTATGCGGCATCAAAAAGATGAATAGATCATAATAACTACATTGGATAGTTGCTTGTGCCACATAAGAAAATAAGATAGACACAATGCACCCTTTTTGTCAACACTCATCAGTTCTAGTATTTTTCTTTTTTATTCTTCATTTTGAACAACGATACCTTCAAAACATGTGACGAGCGAGTCTTTATGTCTCTGCCTCCAAAGTTTGCTATTATAAAAATATTTGCAGCATTTTATTCCATGTTGAGAAACATGCAGACAGCTGCATGTTTCTCAGCTGCAATGTTTCTCAGCTAAACATGCAGCTGTCTGTATAAACTGAAAGTAGAAAGAAAATCATCTCCATCTTCTCACGATGTTGAAAAGCATGAAAAAGGTATTCAATTTAAGACTTCAGTGTTTGTTTGTTTTTCTTAAGAGTTGGTAATGCATATTTGTTGTATGTATTACAATGAATAGGGAGGGAGAGCGAGGCTGGGCTTCTCTGCTTAGGCTGTTGCCCCCGCGACCCGGCACCGGATAAAGCAAAAGAAGATGGACGCAATTTTCCCTCTAAGCCGCGTGCGTGCGCAATTGCGCACTCCTGGCACAGTCTCTGTGCACAGAAAATCTGCGTTGCGCACAAAAAAAATACATGACACATGAAAAATTAGAGGGAACATTGGATGGATGGATGGATGGATGGTATTCCATTTTTAAAATTAGAATACAAATTTTTGGTCACAAACTTGAGTTGTCATATACATCTGTGAGTTTATGTGCACAACAGTATGCTCATGTACACACATGAAGAATTTGACCTTTGTTCCTTAAATATATGGCATTGTTTCTGACTGATATGCTGCTCGGAGTCTTTTGCTCCTTGCTTTTAAATCAAATGGCACTCTCGACATAAACACAAGCTACTACAGCCCAGCTGTCTTAGCTGAGGAAACAAAGGTACATTTGTTCCTTTTTCGTAAAATATTGTGATGATGTTACATTATATTAGGCAGTCAGTTGCCCACATTACACTGTAACTATCACCAGTTTGGTTATCTATTTTGAACACCTCAGCTGGAAAAAATTCTAAATGGTTTGTAGAGTTGGCCACAGGTCTGCATGTCAACGGGAGGTAGAAGATTGCTTCATATTTTGCTATATATAACGTTAGTGTTTCTAAAAAAAAATTCTTTATTAACAAAGTAAACTAAAAATACACTTTATCACATTTTATAGTTTTAAAATTGGATAACAACTGACTTGAACACAATATGAAATGATGTGTTTTCACTATAGGAACTTTGATTTTTGATAGGTTTACTAATCTGAAAGCTTTCTAAATTTTATTTTTGTAGTTTTCCATTTGTAGATAGTGCGATTCTCTGATGTGTATGTGTTTCTACCTGTGCTGATGCTAGCATGACTAAAGCTAGCTAAGTACCAGTTAAGCAAGGCAGAAGCATGAACTCATAAAATGAACAGAATCATAAGAATATAACATGACGAGCACCGCAAATGTAACAAAAATATGTTGACATCAAATGGTATGTTATTTGAAATCTATATTAAAAAATGACACATTGATTTTTTCCAATTTCTTTTATTTATTTATTTATTTATTTATTTATTTATTTATTTTTTACCAGTTGTCCAAATCAGTCTGTGATCGGCCTTAATGTCCCTGGAATCAAATTTATATACAACTAAATATGACTTGCAAATATGTTTTAAATGGATGATTTCTCATTTAATCACGAATCATCCAGTTACATATTTGGTGAGTCCTAAATTTGATGCCGCTGAACTTTTCAGTGGTTAGTTTTTAAAAAGCCCCCAAATCCCCTATGAGTAAGCACTTGGCAACAGTGGGGAGGAAAAACTCCTTTTCAATGGGGCGAAACCTCTGACAGAACCAGGCTTAGGAAGGGGTTGCCATATGTTGTGACCAAGTGGGGATCAAATGTTCACTGACAATTGTTTTTTTTGTTTTACACTCTCAGAATGAGAGAGGCATTGAGGCACCACCTTCTGCCCCCCGGCATCACTGCTGTGCCCCCTCCTTCTGACAGGAACTGTCTACAGAGCAGGTATGAGTGATGCCTGAGTGCACACACAAGTCATAAGTTCCTGGCTCTCACGGCTCCTCTGCAGAGGGTTTCCCTAAGAAGGGGGGCATTGCAGGGGGCGCCAGGGGACGGGGGGCTGTGCCAAGAACAGGAACTTCTGAGGTGTGTATGTCCTGGTGAGCCTCTACCTTTTACAGGTGGTTGCAGTCTGGATACAGACACTTCAAACCTCATCTGAGGACAAAAACTACAAGAACAACATAAAAATGGAGAAAACATACTTTCTAAACATGCAAGGTTTCAGGAGACGGCAGCACTGCAGAGGTGAAGACAGGCAGCTGTTTTAAATACACAAACACTTACATAGACACACACACACTCACAACAACAGAAGAGAAACAAAGAGAGAGAGAGAAAGTGGTTATCAAGCACATGAGGTGAGGACATGCAGCCTGGTGAGTCTGTCTGTCTGATTGTGAATTTCTTTGCAAAGTAAAAAGCTCACAAATATATTGTAAGAACAGGCTTTTTTTTTTTTTTAGTATATGCTGAATTAACAGTATAAAAGCTACTCTACCTGAATTTCACAAAAACATTAAATAAAATACAAGTTTTAAAGGAAAGGTTTTAATAAATGATTGTTTAAAAAAAAACTAACCAAAGTAGAAGACAACTGTTTAGTCGAAAAGTGTTAAACATTCAAGATATTCTCGCTCATAAAAACTTATTTCATAATGTAAACTAGGACATGTAGAAAACTTTCATACTTACTGAAAGATATTTATTAACACTATCTAATTACCAGCATATTTTTCTGAGTGTTACTGAATATGTGTAGGCAGTAGGACGTTGGTGGTTGCCTAGGGGACAGAATGTCAGCTATAGTTTGTTTTAAATTCAGTTTCATTGCTGAAACTAAGAATCAACAGGCTGTAGAGGGAGACTTTAATTGCATTCAAATCCAAGATGGAAAAATCTGTGCAGATTTTGCATATATTAACCATTCACTGGAATAATCCAAGTATACAAACTAAATATCACAGGAGAGCTTATGAGGCCACAAACATCGACGAGGTCCAGTTCAGAGACACAGGTTTAGCAGAAGTGAAGCCTAGAGGACAGCTGGCAGCTGCACACGTCTGTCAGTACCCACCTGTCACAAACAGCAGCCTTTTCATGCCTGACTCTGCATAACTGTAAGCGCTAAAAACTGTTAAATGATGAATAAAGAAATCATCATGTGCATAGTTGTTTTAAGGGAAAAATAAACTAAACCCACAATTTCATTTCAACATTATGAGTAAACTAATGCAGGTATGAGCATCAGGCCTATGCTGTTGTTGTCTCATACTGTTATGTCCCTTGCTGTTAGCTTGTTAGCTTTCCTGTTTCTTGCTTTTTGCCTGTTGTTCCCTCTGATTTTTTTGTCTTCCAGCTGTTATTATCCAGACTTTGAATTCGTTATTTAATTTGTTTGTAAGGTGCAGATTAAAAATTTAGATTTACTTTTTAAAAAAAATCAGCATTTTTGAGGGTTCAATTATCAATATTTAAATCCGCTCTAAAGAAAACTTAGTAACTGTTTTATTTAACAGTATCTTGATCGTGTTAGCGCACTGGTAAAGTTTCAAATGTTTGCATTATGCTGCAGTCACACAAGGGAAAACAGTGACTGGTGACCACGGCACAACCGTGCGCAATGAACTTGCGATCTTATTGGAAATGGTTGCTGAAAAACGTTGGTGTATCAAGAATTTAATAATATGCCAATAAGATGATTCCGTCTTTAAGGATGATATTGTATTTAATTGTCAGTTTGACCTCAATCTGGGATGATAAGATGATTCACTGAGATAAACCTGTGAAAATTGCAAATCTGTCTTTAAAACACACAGAAATTGAAATGAATTGCTTACATTCAGAGTCTAATCAGAACTCAGTTTTGAAACAAATAGTTGCAGCGTAGTTGCTGCAGAACAGTAGTTTATAATGACATAAGTGCACAGCAACCTTGTTTTAATAGGAATATACCCAGAAAAAAGACACTTGGAAACTAACTTAGATGAACCTCTTTTTGCAAAGAAACATGATACAGATGAGTTGCAATAATCGGCGTACATCGACTCAGACTGATTGCAACATGTCAACAATCTGCCTGCATTTCTACATTTAATGGGAAATATTTATAATTCAGAAGTCTGTCTGACAGCATTTGGAAACACTTCATCTCCCACTAGGTGACCTGTGCAATCGCCTTGTCAGACACATTGAATGCTCATCCCCACCCAGAGACTGTCCATGCAACACGGTCTCTGGGTGGGGATGAGCACTACTTTTCATCAGTTAGCAAATGCGAAAAAAATTAAATGCAATCGGCAGTCAAACTAGATGCAAGAAGTATATCTCGTCTTTCCTTAGCTTTAGGTCCATTTAAATAGAAAAAGAAACAATACATTTACAAAAAATGCGAGCTACACCACTCAGTTTTGGGGAGGAAGGACACAAGTTTATGTCAAAAAGGTTTATTATCCATGGCTGTACAACAGAGGCAAAGAAATGATCCTTGATAGCCACATTTTTAACATGCTGACAGCAAAAATTGTTGTCTTTAATTTTTTAAAATTGTAAACAGAAAGTAAAGAATTTCAAATACACGTTGTCATGTAGAACAAATTAAAAACATGAAATGCATTCAATACCATGTGGCGAGATTGTGAATAAATTACATACTGTACATTTGCTCAAAATGAATGAAAACAAAATGCAGAATTAATGAGTGTCAAAGAAAATATCTTACTGTTACATTCATATTTAGCTCTCTGCCAGCAATGCAGCTTTTCACAGTTTTCAATGCACAGAAACAGAAACAAACATCTGAGGTACAACAAAAGACAAATTTTCTTCTGGTAGATCACATAACTGTATTTTTATACACAATACAGACCACAATATAATAAGCACACAATATACTGTATTGTCTGTATTTTTCAGAACAGCAATCAGTCCGAGGGGAAATGACTGACTGCTGGTTGCGAAGATCTTGCAGTCGTCTGGAGAATATTCATACCCAGGATTTTGATGACGTATGCATCAGCAGTGGCATGTTCTAATGAGGCAAACAAGCAAAATACAAGTCTGACACACTCTTCCACTGCTGTCTGTCACTTCCTTTCCTTTAATGTCAAATGCACCTCCTTGATCAAGAAGATTTTGCTGGTATCTGTCCTCCCATCTTCTGTAATGCAAGCTTCATTATTCCCCAACTTGAAAGAAAAAAGAAAGTTATTATTTTTTCATCTCTCACAGCGACCTCATGTGAAAAAAGATAGCTGCAGGTTTAAATTTTCCTGTGAAGCTTGGAAACTCAAGAGGACCAACATTAAAATTTTCTAACGCTGCTGTTATTACCTGCAACCACTCAGATATCCACCAGAGGACAAGCAGTTCATTAAACCATCATCTTAACAATCTATCATGTTCAGACCGCCTGAGGAAGGAAAAGAAGAAAAAAAAAAGGAAAAACTTCCACTCGCAGGCACTTAAGGACAGCAGGGAGGAAATGTCAGCCAAGAGGCAAATTAAATCTCATAGCTATTTGTTCTTACAAAGAAAATCAGGGGAGATTTAAATGTCGTTTGACAGGAAATGCACATGAGAAAGAGTCATCTCTGCGGCTGTTCAGTCATCAGCGATCACTGCAGAGAAGCTGCTTTTCCTTTTGCCCCCAGATGCAGAGAATGACCCCACCTTTAGAAGAACATTTTGGAGGATTAAACTCCAAGGATGAGCAATGTTTCTTACTCTGTTACTCTTTTTAAAGCAGGAAGCGAAAGATCCTTCGAATTGCTTTCAACTGCTGGATGCTAAAATGTTTCTATGATTCTGTTTTTCATACGTTATTCCCAAAAATAAATTCAGTTTTGTGCAAAATGTGTGTTGTTAAACCAAGATTAAATACTGACCTTACTCAGTTGTCAATGTCCGATATGTGGTTCTCTATCTGCAGTAAAAGAAATAAGATTGCTTTAAATCAGTCAAGAATTAATTTTTATAACTAGGCAGCAACATAGCCTTCCCTTTCTAGCTCAATCCACAGTCATTAAAAAAATGAAACACTTCCAGTTCTAAGTCTGAAATACACATCAGTACATATTTAAAAAATTAACTGGTTCGCACAAGTTCTGTTATTCATTTAACAAAAACCATAGACGTGAAAAAATGGATCCATGCTGCATTTTATTAACAGTTCAAGCTGCTGGTGGTGTAATGGTGTGGGGAATATCTTCTTGACACATTTAGTAACACCTGAGCATTGTTTCAATGACAAATAACACTCAGAGTATTGCTGCGGACCATGTGCATCGCTTCACGACCACAGTGTTCCCAGGAGGATGACGCACCATGTCACAAAGCTCAAAATGTCTTAAGCTGATTTCTTGAACATGGCAGTGAGTTCACTGTACTCAAATGGACTCCACAGTCATCAGAACCTGGTCAATACCTGAGGATCTTTCATGTCCTGATTTTTAAAACCTTAGAAATGGCTGTACTTTTTTTTTTGTTTCGCAAATCTTTTTTTGTTTTTTTGTTTGTCCAAACCTTGAAAAATGTGCATCAATTCACATCTCATCCATGTCCTCTGAGACACATTTTATACAGTGTGTTTTCACTAAATCAATATAGGGATTTGGGGTTTTTGTTTATTCTAAGCCTTTTGGCCACAGTATCTATTGGATTAACGCATATAAGCTTTAATGATTACCAGTAATCAATAGTTTAGTCTACTTGCAGAATGAAGCCAATAAACCACCCAACAGTGGGTCCAGATCTCATAAAACAGGAAGCAGGTATGATTATATAACCTTTCTCTAGTGTCAAAGTAAGGCAATAGTTTTGAGAAATAAAACTGTCACAGTAATAAAACTGGAAAGCAAATGTTCAGTTAGATGATTTATGATTTTTAAAGTAAAAATTGGTGATATGCTGCATGCATTACACTCTTTTACTGCATTACAGTAAATTAACACCACCCAAAAAGTTTCACAAGTGTATCCAGAGAGTGATGTAGTTAGTAGCAGATCAGTTTCAAACACTCTGTGAGAAACTTTGCTCCGATTTCATTCTGCACACGGCGAAGCGTCTGCAAACAGGAGCCTAACTTTACTGAGGAGCTGGAGGTGCATAGCTTGTCACCTGCAGCTCTTCATCTAACAGCTCAGTGTTGTTGCTCCGTCTTGTTCCGTTACTCCAGCTGTCTTGTTTCATAGATGAATGACAGCAGTAATTACTGAGGTAGCTGACAGATGTGTCCCATTTCTTGTAAATATCTTGTGAAAGTCAAGTCTTGTTTTGTCAGTTAAATTATTTTTAATGCTTGGTGGCATCAGTAGAAAATGTTTGGTTTGCCATGGCAGGTTTCAATACAGCAGTTTTTCAAAGTATGTTGCCGTGGAAACTAAGTATAAACGCTCTCTTCATCAGTGATCGTGCGTTACCTCACTAAGCGATAGATAGTGACTTAAAAAAGTCTGGCACTTTTAACTGTATAATTAAATTATTTACTCTTTTATTAAAATAAACAATGCTTTCAAAGATTTATAAAAAACTTCTATGCCTGAGGCTTTGCGTATAACACAGAGAAGAAGTTTGCCTTCGAGTTCTTCTGGCAGATGGGCTCAGTACCACACATTTTATTCAATCTGAGGGAAAATTATAAGGGTCTCTCCCAAACCTAAGTTCTGTTGCCTGAACCTGACCAAACTAAGAGTTTAAAAATGTAAAATACATTTCCGAAGACAAACTCCTCCCATTCAGGTTTGTCTGAGACAGGGAAGGAAAGCCAAAGTATTCACAGACACCGTTACGTGCTGCTGACTTTGGTGTTTTCATGTGATTTGTTCAGTTTCATGGCGGTTTGTGATAGAGACGACCTCGAATTATTTTGTCATTGATGATAGTTATTACTTTGTAATACAATATTAATTCAAAACACATTAAGATTAAGTTTTAAAACAACAGCTACTACTTTTCTTGGTTGCCACAACAACGTGTCCCCACTTTGCAGCATGTATGTTGTTCAGACAGTGACAAAATACACCTCACTCAAAAATAACATAAAATAAAAAAAATTGCCCTTCTGACTTCAACTAATTTAATTATATGTAATTTATCCATGTAATTTTGTTGCATAAGTACAATGTAAAATGTTACATTTAATGGGATCTGGTCAAACTAAACTTAATTGATTGATACACATTTAGTTTGTACCAGGCACATTATCTTTAATTATTAATTAATTAAATAAATTCAAATGTAATTTTATATATATTTCAGAGTATTGTATTGTGTTTATTGCGGGTGAAGAATCATTTTCTGAGTGTTTTTACTCATATAGTTTAGACTTTTCAAATCATGCTGATTGTCACAAAAGACAGCAAAACTTTGTATCCATCACCACGAACAACCTGATTACTTTTTCATGACCATTTCACCTTTTAGTTTTATAAGAATCCTGTATGACTCAAAGGGTTCCATCTAAGGCAAAGTTATTTATACAACAGAGTTGAATGTACATTATACTTACTGTTATTATTGGCATATTATGTCAGTGGAAAACATAGTATAGATAAACTACTATGCAAGAGTCTTGAAACACCCCTCATTTCTTTATATCTTGCTTGGGAGATGGGATGGGAAACGTCGAAACATACATGGATATACAGAAAAAGAGTTTTTAATAATTCTGCTGTGCTTGAAAGTTGATATTTGGTGTGAGCACCTTTATTCTTCAACACAGCCTGAAGTCTCACAGACAGCTTTCATGTAAGCTATTCCTGAAGTATTCTTCAGGAATAGTTCTCCAGGCTTCTTTAAGGACAATCAAAGTATTCTTTGAATGTTGGGTGCCTTTTATTCTGTTCTCTCACAAAATGATCCCACACTGCTTCCAAAATGTTGAGGTCCAGGTTCTGGGAGGGGTGTGATTCATGACTGTGTTTCTCGTCAGCTACTATCGGCTTTTACGGCATTGACAGTGTATTTGGATCACTGTCGTGTTAAAAGAAAATGACATCAGCTGTGTTGCAGATGGTATTGGTGGATTGAAATTTGATGGTTCTGTTCTGCATTCATAGTTCCATGTAGATGCTCACCACTATACCTCTCTCCTGACCTCTGTGCATACTGGCAATGACTTACACTAATAATGACAACGATTTGGATTCATCAGTCTACAGGCCTTGTTGCCAACGATTTTCTGTCCTGTTCTTGTGTAATTTGGAAGCTAGGGAAGTACTGCCAATACTATGCCTCTACGCGGGGGCGGGGGAGTGGACTTTGAGTGTCCAAAGAAAAACTTTGAAGGACCTTCAGAAAGCCTGCACAAATATGAATCAAGTCCACTTTAAAAAATTACAAGAAAATCTGTAGGTAATTAGGACTTCTTGTGACTTTTGCAGGCACACACACACACACACACACACACACACACACACACACACACACACACACACACTTTGCAGCTAAATTGGAACCAAATAACTTCTTATTAATACTGGACATGGGTACTTGGCCTGCTCACCATGTCGCTTGTGCCTTCATCTTCAAAGTCGTCTTCACCACCGTCTGTCATCTCCCCTGCCTCAACCTCAGCCGTCCCCTCCACTTCTTCCCCCCCAGAGTGGTCTGCTGCATCACCATGGAGACACTCGCACACCTCCTCCTGCTTCCTCTGCATCTCTGGCAAAAGACATCAAGAGACAAAGACTGGCAGTTAACATCAGAGCATAATAGATTTATTGATTTTCTATCTTGTTTTGATAATAGAAGAACCTGTATTTCAGACAAGCCTCCGAACAAGCATTTACTATGTTCAGTATCATTCCGTCAACTCTCCTCAAAGGACGTTTGTGTGGCTTTTATTTCAGTACATGGCGGCCTCTCTCAGCATCTTCCCCGTTTTTCTATGCATGCTCATCAGACAGGTCCTCCCCTCCTGGCTGTCAAATCTTACCGGCGTCAGAGCGATGTTGCCTCTCTATCTTCTCAAGCCTTCCCAGCAGTGAGTCGATCTTGGTTTTGATTTGCGACAGTTCCTTTTTGATTGTTAGAAGCTGATCTGTCTTCACTGCAAGCATACATTAATAAAGTTAAAAAGCATAATTAATGGGATGTTCTACAAGAGACACTGTGACAGCAGCAGACTCTTCTCAACAGTCAAGTTCTTCACTGAAAATGTGGCACAACTGATGAAAAGCAGGAAATCTCACTGTGTTGCATTGAGGGGAGAATAATAATAAGCATGCGAGAGTTTGAACAGTACAGCAGCTGCTAAAGCCATAATCTCACTGTTGTTGCTATACCAGCGAAAATGTTTCTTTCTTAGCCGTGTTTTACCTCAATTTTTGTAGAGGAAAGATCTGGCTCTTACTATTAGATTTACCACCTTATTACTAGCTTAGATGATGAGAAAACAGCTGCCTGCTTGCTGTAAAACAATAGAAAGTGATGAGCAATATGATGCAGAAATGCTACACAGAGCAGAAAATAAAAAAATAACCAAACAACTAGCTGAGACTCTGATCTAAGATTTATTCTGTATAATTTTGGTTTATTCCCAACATTTCTGGTGTGCTTACTTTTGTTTTAACACGAATAAAAACTCTGGTTTAAATGTGTTTCAATGCATCTCAAGAAAAGAAAAAAATTTACTGTTTATCCCAGTCATTCCTAAAGAGTGTGGCGGTGGTCTGCAGGAGGTCAAAGTTCCTCATGTACAAACATGTAATTAGCTTGAAGCTACAATGGAACAGCTTAAATATTTACATCAAAAAAGGTCATCAGAACTAAAGAAAAGATGTGAGATTCAAATGATTTGTTTTTCTTTTCAGATGGCAAGGGAAAGGAAAGTGTTTAATGAAGATTCAGCCTCAACAAGAAAATCACCAGAAGATCAAAAGGAATCAGAGAAAACACATCAAGTCTTGTGTTTCAATCAGAGTTTTGATTAAAGGTTCAGTCGGCGCAGGTTTAAAATTTGGCCAAGACATCCTTAAGTTTGACAATGGTTGGCTTTGTCACCTGACTGAAGATTAATCAGCAATGATTGTTAAAATCAAATGATAATAAATGCCATAATAAAGTAATTTTTCAAGAAGAAAATATTTAAAACCTTCACTTTTCCCAGCTTTCAAATGTGACAATTTCCTGTGAATCTGTTCGGTTAGCTTAGGAAGTCATTATGGTCATTTTTTTCCTCCCCATTTTATTGCATTATTTGACAGTTTTTGCCTCAACAATCAAAATAGCTTGTACATTAACCTCTTATTAAAATCAAAGGTGGTGTTTTTAAAAAATTACTCATTTATTCAAAAGTAAATCGCATTCTAGGGCTGCTCGATTATGGCAAAAATGATAATCACGATTATTTTCACTGAAATTGAGATCTCGATTATTTGACGATATTTATTTAACCCTTTAAGACCTACTATAGAACCAAGTCCGCCAGAGCTTATATTATTTTTTTTACATGTTGTAGTGCC